TAAATGTTACCCATACTACAGGGTGATTACCGTAACGGTAAGGGTGTAAAATAGTTAGTTACCCTACAGGGTATTTTACGCAAGGGTCTCTAAAGTCCTTGTGATCTCGGGAACAAACTTTATTGTGAAGCATCGTAGACATTTGTATTTCACAACAAAGCTATACAAATATTGGTTAGATGTCGCATGGCCGCGAGAGCGCTATGCCCTGGAGACTCTTCATCTGTCAATCCTCAAGTACCACTCCAGCACGCTCAGATGAATGTGCTGAAGAAGCGACATGGCTTCTCGTTCTTTTAGCGACTACCATTAAAAGCCAATTATAACAGCAAATCTCAGATAAGTTGCTTACATAAAAACTTCTGGAGTTTGTAGGGTCTGACGATTGAAATTATGCAACACCCGGCAGTGACTTGTTGGGCTTCTCCCTACGGCTTAGCCCGAGTGTCAGTGCGCACTGCCATTATTCACACTGATCCCCACCAAGCCAGTGGATTAACCCACAGGCTCCAAATGAGAAAATGGTAAAGTTCCGCACATGAAAAAGATTACTCCGGGGTTACTCCGAACGTCGAATATGAAATATGTCTGAAAGGGGTGAGGGGATAACAAGGCCAAAAACCGAACAAGAAAGAAAAGTTCAATTTTGCTAGCATTGATAAAGTACTTAATTTTGTGATTCTTTTCAAATGAAAGAGTAGTTTTACACCTTTAAGGTTCTAGCCTTGTCACTTGTTTTGAACCATAAATTCTCGATCAAAACAAATCTATTAAGTTAGAATTAACTATTCATGAATTTTATATCTGTAATCAACAAATTTTCTCCATTATACTGTATCAAGGCAAACGAGGCATCAGCTTTTGCCCTCATGAAGATTTCAAAAAAAATCTGTAGAATTATACTCAGCTGATTTTAGAGATAGTAGTCTTTGAAGTGTTATGACAGTCTTCTAGGGATTCCTAACAAAGTATTGGATCGTCTATTAGCTCAGATGCATTTCAGCGCAGTAAGGAGCCTATGGGCTACTAGTTTCGCGATGTACAATATGTTCAGATTAAATACAGAGTGTTGTAGCCTCTAACGATTAAGGTTATGTGGCTTCAATTAAAGTGCAAACATTTTCGTCACAATTCAAATATTTCTTAGCATTCGAAAGTGTAGGAACTCTACTTTTGAATTGGAGTAGCTCGCGTAAGAG